CGGTCAAACTTTTGATGATTTGACTTTCGCCATTTCAAGCCTAAATCAGCTACAGACCTCCAATTCACTATTCGGACATGCTCCTAAGTCCAAAATCACCCAACAGAACTAACGAAACTCCATTCTGGAGTCGTCTTCACACCATTCCGACTACGGTCAAAATCCTAAAACTTAAGCTTCTGTTTTAGGGAGTAAGTATCCCAAAATACTCTGAAACAAAAACAAGCCCTCCCAACAAGTCACATAAGTAGAAACAAATATGGGGAATGTAGTAAATAGGGGATCCAGGCTAATACGCATAAAATGACCGGCCGGGTCGTTACACAAGGGTGACCCACATATTTCATCGGAAGGTAGCCAAAACCATGGGTAATAGGTTAATGTTGATCCTCCCTTCCTTTGTGGGAAAACCAAAAGTCCCAACAATGCTAGAGAAAATGTCAGGGGGCGAAAGATCTTCCATGTCACTTGGTCATACTAGAATTCCTCAAGATGCCAATCATAGCTCTCCTAGTGAGTACCTTGTCAGCACTGATGTTCATCAATGCGGTCAGTGCCCTAGGTGCATCCTGATTTCATCTCCGTGCTTCCGTCGGATATTCCTCCACCACCGCTTCAATTTGTGAGGTGCACCCATGACCATGCTGATTTCTGGGATGTTGCTATTTGATTTCCATCTAGAAGGGGTGAAAGGTTTGGTAAGTATTTTGTACCAAATGCTTAGTGTCTTATCTGGATTGACTTGTTGTTCCATAGAAGTCATGTCGTTGGGTGCTTGAACCGTTGACATTAAGGTGGCTTTCCTAATTGTGAGTCAATATCAAGGATGGACCCACCTAAGATTTATGTAGCATGACATATGTTTGCTAAGAGTAGAGTATTTCCTAAATTTGGAGTTGGACCGAATAACTGTGAGATGTTATGTCAGTTTGCCTAGCAAAGCTATTCTCTTGAACTAGAGAGTTTTGAAAGAAGGTTCGGAGGGGTGAAAAGACAACCCTCACATGCCATTGTGTGTGGTTGTGTATACCCAAGACATAGTAGGAAAAATATGATGACATTGTATAAAATAATAACAAGTAATTGTGAATATTAAAATAGACAAATAAACACATATTAGCAGGTTATAAAGTCATATAAAGTGTAAACAAGTAGAATAAAATGAGTTAACACATATTTGCAGGTTAAGCATAACTAAAGCAGAATATAACAAACATCCCCAAGTTCAAGTCTAGCCTAAGTCTGCTAAGGTCTGAAACTAAGTGTAATATCCCCAGTAGAGTCATCATGTTATTGCATCCTATTTTGCGCGAGTCAAAACAAATACAATTAATGGTACTTCTGAAGTTGATAAAAGAGAGTCGCTACCTAATATTTTAAGGTATATTATGGTACCTATATGTCTATATAATTATTATCCTAATGGTCTGCTAACCGGTGAGATTTGGGCAAGGGTTTTAGTTATTCTAAGGGGAATGTATTAGGCATCCCTTAAGATCTACCTGAAATAACTCCTTAAACTTAGGCTAGGTTTGGGGAAAGAAAGGTCTATATTCTGATTAATTAGTGGTTAAAGTGGCTAAGTGAGATTTATGAAAAATATTTTAAGCCTTATTTGAAAGTTCATTATTTTGAAAAAGGTTGTGTATTTACCTTGAGAAGAAGGATGTTTTTTGTTTGTAAGTCTTTATAACTTTGTAAAGCAAGAGATTACCTTTAAAAAATATACCTTATGTTTGAAATGGGTATACCTTAATTGAAAACCGTTTCAGCAGAAAAAGCCTTGTGTCCTTAAACTTATCGATGTTTATCCCTTGAAAACTTGGTTGTGTGTTGTTTTTATTTCTTAAAAACAGCTCTTGTATTATTTGCGATTCATTTGATGTTTCCAAAGAGGATTCGTTTTCGTTTTTGAATCTACCAAAGCTTTAAAATCACTGAAGTTGTTAGTAGTATCATAAGTAAATTGTTTGTTTATAGAAAATATTAATAATAAATGTAATAGTTCAAAATGTGTCAAAGTAATGAAAAGCAAGTGAATCTTATAATCCACTTTGACCATTTTACCTACAAATATTAGTTTGCCTGTGTTTCCTAAACAACCAAAATATCAAACAATATCCAATAGTAATGTTAGTTTCAAAGACATATACACAGAATTGTAAACAATAATATTTATCGTCTAAAATATTGAGAGGAAGGAAGGGATGGACTCTCGATATTGGGCCAGTAGGTAGTGAGGCCCAGAAGATTTCACACAGGTAGCAGACTCCAATGAGCAGGAAAAGCAGCCTAGGCTGGAACTTGGGCTTGAGTATTACAACAACGTATAGCCCACGGCTCAACAATACTGTGTACAAGAATTTCAATAACAACACAATGAAACGGAAAATAACTCAATAATGAAATGTGTTCCATACATCAACAACTTCAATTCGAGGCATATTAAAAGTCTAAGAGTCTAAACCGGTCAATTACCATATATAAGTCCGTGTACACCATCGTCACCTCATGTACACGTCTTTCACATAATTAAATAATGTAATTAAATCAAATCCTACGGGGAAGTTCTCATACACAAAGTTAGGCAAGATACTTACCACAATTAGGCCAATTCAACCCTCAAAAATAGCCTTTCCTTTAAAATTTACCTCTGCACAACTCAAATCTAACAAAAAATGACTTAATATCATTAAACAATTCAAGAGAAACCAGTTTCGATTAATAAAGTTAAGATCTTTACACAATTTCCCAAAAGACAATAAAAGTCAATCCCGGGCCCGCCCGGTCAAAATCTGAGTCGACGCGTAGATCTCGACTACCCATAATCCCACAAGTCCATATATGTATTTTGTTTTCAAATCCGAGTCCAATTTGACTCTCAAATCTCAAATTTCTATTTTTCAAAACATAGCCAAAATTCCCAAAAACTTCTCTTCAAATTCAATGGATTATATGTTGAAAATCACGAATTGCCATTGCAGCCTCTTCACAAATGCGACCTGACCAAGCCTAACGCTGACTTTGCAAATGCGATAAGGGCATCGCCTTTGCGACATCTGAGCCTCCCCTGCTCTCTTTGCAATTGCGATGCTGGTGCTCGCAATTGTGATAACTGTAGTACCAACATACCAACAACCTAAAACAAATCTAAATCAAATTGAAGCACGTCCGAAACTCACCCAATCTCTGGGGCTCCACATCAAACATCCATACAAGTCTAAAAATATCGTAAGAACTCGCTCACATGATCAAAATACCAAAATAATATCCAGAACCACGAATCGAACATCAAAACACATGAATTTTATATTGAATTCAAAAATCACTGGAATCACAACCAAACATATGATTCCTAACAAACTAACTCGGAACGGCACCAAATTTTGCAGACAAGTTTCAAATAACAAAACGGATATATTCCAAGTCCCGAAACTAAAATCCAAACCCGATAGCCAACCTACGGTCAAACTTAGAAAATTTTCAAACCTTCAAATTGCCAACTTTCGGCAAAACAAGCCAAATCAACCTAGGAACCTCCGAATTAAATTTCGGACATACACCTATGTCCAAAATTACCACACCAACCTATAGGAATCCTCAAAACACTATTCCTGGATCGTTCTCACAAAAGTCAAACTTCGGTCAACATTCCAAACATAAGTTTCTAAACCAAGAACTAATGGATCCTTATCATTCCAAAACTTCCCCGAAACGAAACTAATCATTCCCTTAAGTTATAAAATCACAACAAACGGGAAGCTTCAAAAAGGGAAAACAAGGCTCAAATACACAAAATGACCTGTCGGGTCACTACAAACTGCTACTTACTTTTATACAGTAAGCTCAGATCTTGAAGCCTTAGGCTCTCACTTAAAAGATGATGGTTAGCTAAGCTTTCTCTCTAATTTCTTGCATACTCTCAGTTTCATCCCCTTATTTAAGCTTAAAGTTAGTTACCTTCTTACTGCTTCTGATTCTCAAGAAATATAATACTCCTAGTTAAATCCCTTTTTGCAACACCCCACACACTTTTACACGAGTATATACGGTTTGGATATCTGTATATATATTATTTTAATATAGTACATTGACTACTAAAACTAGGTTATGTGGAAAGTGAGTTTATTGGTGTAGCTCTATATGTTTACTTAAGTATAATTTATCAGTTGAATACATTTGATTGGAGCTTAATTCACTGACGGGGTTATCCATGATTTACAGAAAGTATTGTTGAAGTTTCAGTATCTCGATGAGAAAGCCAAGCAAAAGGTCATGACGAAGGTTTATGTTCTATGAGGTATACATTGTCAAAATGTACAGTACATTTTTCTGTTTCATGTTTTCGAAAAAATATCGAACATGTACTCTTTCTTGTTCCATATACTCAATGAACCCAGATCTTGAAATATGAAAAATCTCAACTTAATTTGTGTAATTTGTGCTCTGTTAGACGGTGTGACTATTCATCTAAAAGTATAATCTTGGTGACATGAGACTTGAACCTAGAATCTCTGTATGTTCAAACACTATGTTAAATTGTGTAATCAATTACCAACTCCCATTTACACTAGCTTATCAGCATTACCAAACCTCTGTCCCTGCTCGTTATCATAATCACTATCACATCATTGAAGAGGTTCCAACTTCTTGCGTTTTCTGCTAACTTCCTATGTCATGTTCTTTGGCATGGTTGATGAATTTAATTTACACTTATGATATCTTTCGGTGGAAATTTATCATAGATTTAGTGTATATTCAATTCTCTATGTCGTCTTGGATCTATTCCCTTACCTTTTTTCAGCCTCCCTATTAAAAATTTCGTTTCACTACAAGAAAATATTGCTTATTAGAGTTTTTCTGAAATTTATAAAAGAAAATTCATTGGTAAAATAGTTTTGTTTACCTGTAAAACGGTACAGTAAAATTTATATGTAATTTCTAGACAAATGAATTAATTTGATCCGGAAATAATAAAATAATCGAAGAATTATGCAATACTTAGCCTTAGGATATAGATGAAATAGCAGAAGCAACAATTCCGGGAACAGGGTTTCCGTGCACAACAACAACGAATGTTATTACGAGGGATAATAAGATTGTATTGAGCATTGTATAAAATGTAGCATTAGTTTGCCAGAAAATTCGTGTCTTTACAATGACAACTAAGCTCACTATTTATAGCTATGAAGGAAGTCCTAAGATCGTGCCCTTCTTTAATGTCAATTACGAGGGACATTGATGAAGATGTAACGCTGAACATAAATGCCAAATTTTCTGTAACGGGTAATTTCTTTTAATGCCATGGAATATTCTCTATTAAATACTATCGGGCGAAGAGCATTTATTACATCTTTACGAATGTTATTCTTTCCGGTGACAAACGAAACAGTTGCCTTCGGTCTTTGGCCATCCCCTGTCTCGGTTTCCACGTGTCCTTTTTTTGGACAGCTATGTGTCATAACATATTTTACCCTATACAGATAGTCCCTCTGCTTTTCGGTGACATGACTTTGTGTTACCGGGAAGTTGGTAGAAACACTATTTTGGCGAAAATTACTATAATTCCCTTCTGAAGGTTTCTGACGGTTGATTAGACGCATGTCCCTCCACATTTAATGCTCCGAACACGCGTCATCACATGATTCAGCACAACACTTGCCGATTATCGGGGTAATCATGGTCATGAATTTAGCCGCCAAAACTTTTACTTATACGTATCAACCTTCTCCCGTATACTTCATAATTTTTCAAGCTTCCCTTATCTAACTTGCATCTTGTTCTTCATCTTTTCTCTAATTCTCTTCAAACAAGAAACCTTCTCCTTCTTCCATACAATGGCTTTTTCCTCAAAGCATACCGGTGTTTGAAAGAGCAAGAACAAGGCCGAGGACTCTGCTCCTCCAACAGTGGGCTCCATCATCCCTAGAAGTCTTATTACCAAAAAAGACTTCGAAGAGAAATTCCCTATTGCTAACTTTCGTAGATGGGCCGTTAGTAGGTATCCTTCTTCCATACGTCCTTCTAGCATACCTGCTGTAAAAAAAGACTGCCACTGCCATGACATGGATAATATTGCTCCTGATCTATCGGAGCGAGTCACCCTACCCAAGGAGGATTTTACATATTTTTACATGTATCCCTTTACTTTTAGTGCGTTCTCTTTGAGCGGAGAGCTTGGCTCCGTGATTGCGGAGTTTTGCTTCCGCTACCAAGTGTGTTTGGCACAAGTAAGTCCTTCTGTGTGGAGGACAGTTGCTTGTCTTCAGCGTTTGTGCGAGGAGACTGGAGAAGAGTTACTCTTAGTTCATATGATGAATCTCTATTCTCCCAAAATCTTCCGCGGGGGAATGATAAACCTCTGCAAGCGTGTCCACCATGCTCTGTTGTCTAGCATGGATGATGACAACGACCGTGGGTGGATGGAACGATTCGTTGTAACTGCCAAAAATGACATCATTCCGGCAACGGCTCCATCCTTTTCGGCCACTTGGAACCGCAATCGTAAACTCTTTGTTTAGTATTTCCTTTTACTAAATATTTTTCTATAGTCGTATTGATCCTCCATCCTTTGCCTTTTTCAGCAACTTGATGGATTCCACCGGTGGTTGAAGGTTTGGATCGGTGGGTACAAAAGATCTTGGACGTTATGAAGTCCGAGACTCGCTTGTGGAAAGAACTGGACCCTAAATACGGGTGGAAGGCCAAGAATCATGGTAATTCAAACTCACCTTATTTCAAATTTTCATGTGAGGAACTTGATTGATCCCTTCTAACTTGTCTATGAAATTAGGTCTACATGTATGCTCTGTTGTTGTTCCCGAGGAGGATGTCTTGGCTGATCCTGCTGATGCAGCGAGACTGCTTCAGGAGGCGCTTACTCGAACAGATATCTCCGGGCCTGCTTCTAGAGCAAATATTTCTTTACGGAGTCCCCGGCCGGAAGGCAAACAACCAATGAGAAGACGCTCATCCGCATCCGGGAAAAGAATAAGAGGGCGAGGATCTATGCCCCCGACTCATCTCCGGTAGCGATGATGACTGGCCCTCCTTCCGGGACAGTCATAAACACCGTGACTATCGACGATGATGAAGACGTTATTGATGAGGGAGCTTCTATACATAGAAGACAACGATCCTCATCATCTCAACATGATGCTTGACCTATTGAGATAGTTACACCAACCGAGGACGATGCCTCGACAGTTAGGGAGAGTTTGATTTGGTAGATAATGTTAACTCCCATTTTTGGCCCCCAATTGTTGTGCCTGGTACTGCGGGGCTGAGTAACGGGTAACTGCCGTCTTTGGTTGGCGAGCATCCAACAACCAGCACTGCATTTGATGCAGCTGCTTCTCACTCTTCAACTCCATCAGATTCATCTCCATCTTCACCAACACCAAACATCACTTCCAACTTCATCCACTCTTCCACCAGCAATTGCTACATCATCTCCACCGGCCGCACTTTACCATGAAGAAGGTGTTCCTCTTCCACAGTCCCCAATTCATGGGAATTTGGGGCAAAATTATGCTGCCCCTTCTGAAGATCCACAAAGGAGAAGGAATGTTACTCTTTCTGTCTCTATCAGATGCAAATTGCTATCCCGGCTGGTGGAGCTTACTAATTATCTGAAGTCAAATAATCAGGCACTATCGGGAGAGTATTTGTTGAACAACGCTATGCACAACGCCACATCGGTATGTTCCTTTCTTCCTTTATTACTCCTTCTATTTTTGGGTATGAACATATCCTGAATTTTACCCTTCTTACTTTGTAGGCCAACTTTATTGCTTTCGAGGGCCTTCAGAGGTTTATTCGTGAAAAGAAAGAGATTACCTCCGCACGGGAACAACTTTTGGCAGAGTATGAGCAACATTTCGATCGCCTTTTGGAACTAGAAGCCAAAGCTGTTGAGGCTGTTGTATTGGAGGCTCGTTTGCAGCAAAGCGAGCAAGAAGTGGTAACCCTTAGCCAAGAAATTGGACCGCTGAGGGTTATATTTGACGAAGCCAGGGCCAAATGGGCTGAAGTCCATAACATCGTTCTTGCTGCAACCAGACACGAGGCTGCCTCCGCTGAATGAGTGGTGAACTTAGAGGTAGCCTTGAACACCAAAATTGAAGAGCTTGCTGCTACAGGGGCGAAACATGCGTATTTGGAAGAGAAGTACAGAAAACCTATTGAACATAATAGGTTTTTTAGTTCAACTGTCCGTGAACTTGATGTTAGCCTCAAATCTGCTAGGTCCGCCCAGGAAAACCTTTATGCCGAGGTAACCCAACTCAAAGAAGAACTTAAGCGCCGAGCGGCTTCCCTTGTTATTGAGAAAACTTATGCTATGTACATCATGAGGAGAAAATCCTTGGAAGAGGCCAAAGCTAGTGTCATTGATTTTGATGCTGAAATTGCTAAGACCCGTGAGCTTGAGTTAGCTGCTAAAAGTGGACTCCCGGCGAGGTCTAATGCACATGGTCCTTCTGGTTCTGGTTTCGAGTTCTCAGGAACTGAAGAAGAATCGGAGGATGATGATGTTGAAGGCCAAACTGGTAAAAATGTTGAGCCATCGGTGGGCCCGTCTACTTCTCCCAGGGGCGCGGACACTTCTCTTCCTCCTGGTTCCAGAGATACTGCAGTTTAGCTTTTCTTTTCTTTTCCCAATTCTTTTACCTGTGTTGTTTTGGCATGTTTTTGTAAATAAAAACATCTTTTGCTCAAGTATTATTTGAGTCTTCCTTTCGTTTAAATATTCATGCAAGTCTTTAATCTTTGCATTTTCTTCCTTTTGCTTAAGAATTTTGCGCAAGCTTTTCTGTTTTGCGTCTTATTATGTGAAGCCTTAGGTGTATTCTCCCCGAAAGCATTTTTGGCTCTGCGCATCAGACCTTCTTCGTGAGGGCTTTGATAAGTGTTTGTGCAAGTTTATTTTTTGCGTCCTTTCGTATACGACTTTGGATGTATCTTTCCCCAAAGGCGTTTTCATTCTGGGCATAAATTCTTCCAGAACCAACCCTTTAACGTGAGAGTTTTTATAAGAGAGGGCCCTCTTGTGTTTACGGTGCTCTTGAAGAGGACGTCTCATATTCATTACGGCACTAGCATTTGAAGTACTTGTTTAACTTTTAAAAGACAAAGTTAATTCATCGTTCAGACAAGAAACAAGATAAAAACAAAAGGATTTTATTTTACTTCTATTTTCAAAAAGTACATAAGCATTTTGCTATGCTGAAAAGAAATTTCCATTACTTGTGGCTAACTTGTACAACATATTTCTACGGGGCTGGCCGCGCAGTCTCCGGTCCTGATGATGCAATTATATTTCTCGTTTTTCGTTTCCTGGTCGACGTGGCACTCAATTTTGCCGTATCCT